ACTCCCTCCAGGGCCTGAGTCCTCGCTGAAGCTGGTCCTGCCCTTGAAGGGTGTCCAGGGCCGCCTGCCCATCCTTGGATCCTCAGCCAGCGTTCCCCCCTGCTCAGTCTCCGCCTGACTTCCTGCCCCCTTGGCCTTCTCCCCTAGGACAGAGCAGCAGCCCGCCTCCTCTGGCCATGGGGAGGCCTCCGCTCAGCACCCCCATTCAGAATCACTTTTTGTTTCAGGAAAGAAAGACTTTTCCTGCTCAAGTCCATAGGCTCTGTGAGCAGCAACCCTGGAAAATTGCAGCCAAGGAGCCAGGTTCTGTAATCCAGGGAGCTGGCGCCTGTAATCCCAGCTACTCAGGAGGCTGAGGTCATAGGACCATCTGAGGCCAAGAGTTCAACACTAGCTTGAACAATGTGCCAAGATCTCATCTCTACCAAAAAAATTTTTTTAAATAGCCAGCCTTAGTGGTCTGTGCCTATAGTCTCAGCTACTCTGGAGGCTGAGGCAGGAGGATTGTTTTTTGTTCTGTAGAGGGTTTTTGAGACAGGCTTTCCTTCTGTCATCCAGGCTGGAGTGCAGTGGCGCAATCACAGCTCACTGCAGCCTCAACCTCCCAGGCTCAAGCAATCCTTCCACCTCAGTCTCCCTAGGAGCTAGGATCACAGGTGCACACCACCACGCCCAGCTACTTTTTATTATTAAATATTATTATTATTATTATTTTGTAGAGACAGGGTCTCACTTTGTTGCCGAGGCTGGTCAGGAACTCCTGGGCTCAAGCAATCATCCTGTCTCAGCCTCCAAAGTGCTAGGATTACAGGTTTAAGTCATCTTACCCAGCTGGATCTCTTGAGTGACAGGGTAAGAAGCCGTCTTTAAAAAGAAGAAGAAAACCGTGGGCAGTAGGAACCAATGAGGCCTTGGACTGGTTGGTCAGAGTGGACCAGGCTCCGCGGCCCCACTGAACGTGCTGCTTCACCTCTCTGAACCCAGTGTTCTCCGACTGAAAAGGAGAGAATAGCTTTCCCTTTGCAGGGGATTCAATACGATAAATTAGATGCTCAATGCATATTTTTAAAGAGCAGTCAAAGTGCTTAGCACAAAATGTGGCATGCAGAAACCCTCTGTATGGGATGTTTCTCCTTAGCCAGCTGTCCCCTTGTACAGATAAGGAAACTAAGGCTCAGCTCCCACCTCCAACCAGCCTGGGGAGAAGGAGGCTGGGAGCTGGTGTGCCTGGAGCCAGGGACCGGCTAAGCTGGAGGGCAGGCTTGCCAGCACCACTGGTGTGCCCTGAGGACCTGGCCTCAGTGTACCCATCTGTAAAACAAATGGATTGAACAAGGACAGAGGGCTCTGCAGAGGTGCCTTGGAGGAGGGAGGTGAGCAAAGGGGAGCTCTCTGCCCCCACTCACTCCATGCAGCCTTCTGCTGGGGACCATGCCACGGGAGCTAGGGAGAGGAGGAGCATCCCTCTTCAGAGATGGATTGGGATTGGCTCCACCTGGGGGAAGGAAGTCTCATCCCTCCAGGAGGATGAGTTTAAGGATTAGGAGTCCTGCAGGTTTCTCCAGTGAGCCAGATGCCCTGCCCAATCACTGGGAGTAGGGGGTACAGGGGGAGCGTGGGCACAGCAATAACATCATCAGTCCCACGCCTGGCTTGACCTTGACTCTGTAGATCCAAGGTCAGGGTCTCAGAGAACTTCAGGGCTAAGGTGGCATGACTTAGAGGCAGGGGAGGGGCCTATAGTCAATATTGATCTAGCTGAGTCAGGGGAGGACAGGGAAGTGGGAAGCCTGGGGTGGGGCTCCCTGATAACTGCATCTTCAGGCTGCCATTGTGACTTTGGAAAACGGGGTGGGGACAATGGGAGGAGGGGGAGGGGATGCTCCATGCAAATTCCCAAACCTAGGCACTTGCTTACTGAAACTGCAGCTGCCTGGACCCCTGCCCAGAAGAATGGCTTTTGTTCTCTGAGGGTGGGGCCCGAAACATCTGTATGTTTCCCAGACTCCCTGGTGAGTCTGTAGCAGCCAGCTCAGTTCCCAGACTTGGGGCCCACAGGTTCAGTGTCATTGTAGTATGAGGAAACTGAGGCCCAGAGAGGGGATGCGACTCCTCCAACATCACTTTGGGAGAGGATGCTGACAATCTTCCCTTTTCTCCTGGTAAGAAGGAACCGTCCCCCTCCAGCTCCCTCCACCTCCAGCTGAAGCCGTGGGTCTGGGAAGGCATGGCAGAGCCAGGATGCCCTGAGGGCAGTGGCCTCTGAGACCTCTGGTGGGCTAGGTGGAGACAGGAGGGTGGGGCTGGCTCCAGGAGGAAGGACAAGGAGAGGAGGGCATTTCCACAGGACTGGACCTGCCCCACCTTGCCCTTTGCGCACCCCCAGCACCAGCTAGGGGATGTTTCCTGAAAGATTACCGCAACCCACACCTGGGAAGGCCATTTCCACCGCTGGAGCCTACCCATGCCCTGAGAAGTCACCGTACCATGGCAGATTTGGGGCTCACTCGGCCCTCAGACACCTCCAGCCCCCACAGCCTCCCCCTGAGCCTGTTCTACTCACCCTGCCACCACAGTTCTGGGCTCCTAGTTTTTGCCCTGCCTCCATCCCACCAAAAAGCCTCATTCAGCCCCATCGCCATCTCTCCTTCCTCTGGGTTCCTGCACCCTTTGCACCTGCAGATCCAGCCCCCATCCCAGCTTGCCTTGAGTTCTTGTTCTCTGCATGTCTCTCACTGTCTGGAATGGCACTAGGGATTCCTGGGGGACAGGAGACACGAGACAGGTCTAGCTCATCTCTGAGCCCTCCTTGGAGCCCAGCCCAGCCACAGCATGCCCCAGGGAAGCAGGTGTGGGAAGCAGGTGTTCACCGAGGCTGGGAGCCTCAGTCTCACCTCCCTCCCTCGTGCCCTGGGCCATCTTGGGTGGGTTCCTTCCCTCTGGGCACACAGTCTTCTTATTCACAGAATGAAGAGAATAATAGTGCCCGCAGTGGAGGGGTGTGCTGAGGATTGAGAGAGCACCTATAAAAGAGGTGGGGCGTGCCTGGCATCAGTCCGTCCCCAGTAAGTGTTCACTGCTGTTATTTCTGGGTGGGTGGAATACTCATGCCCGCACAGCCTCCACTCCTCCTTCATTCCAGGACGCATCTGCGGGGGTCTCCTCTGTGCAAGAATGACAGTATCTGCTGCGTGCATCTGGAGCATGGACAAGATGCTGTTCTGCCTTCAAAGAGCACATAGTTCTGCAGACACTTGCTTAGGTGACTTCAAACCAGAGATCTGTGGTGAGGACGGTGGAAGCCCAGGAGGGACTTAGCCCGGGGTATGGGGGAGGCCAGGGAGGGTGGGGGAACTTCCCAGAGAAGATGCTGGAGCCATCTCCTGAAGGGTGAGAAGGTGTCACAGTACGCTGAGCTGGACAATGAGGGGGAAACGGCCCTCTGCAGTGCGTTTTGGGGTATGGAGACTGTGGGTGTAGACAACCGAGAGAGGAGGCAGAGGCTGGAAGGGGAAGAGGGTCAAAAAGGGAGAAGGTCCTAAGAATCCCAGTCACTCCTCGCTGGCCGTCCAGAGATGGGGGCAGGGCAGCACAGACCAGGGCAGGGGAGGCCCCTGGAGGGAACAGAGTGCCGTGCTCGGAGTTTTAGAAGGCTGGGGTGAGTCCTCGTCACAGTCTTGCAAGAAGCCTCTTTGCCTTTGAGTCTCATTATTTTCATCTTCAAAACAGGACTGTTGCAACTGGGACAAGAGGTGTTGTGAAAGCACTTTGTGAACTGTAGAGTATCATGCTCCTGTGAGATCATAATAGTGTTTTAAGTGGAGTCAGTACTTTTTGAGAGTTGAAGGATATCTCCCAGGGCAAGGCAGACATGCTGGCGCCAAGGACCGCCTGAAACCTGCTCCTGTGCTGCCACCTGCTGGTGAAAAGGCACAATGGCCATCCAAGCCCTCAAGGCTTTCTGCAGGAGCCACTGGCGCAAGTGAAGGCAGGGCTGCGAGGACGCCTGGCACTAACCCTTGCAGACTCTGGGGCAAGGGTGGGAAATGGAAGCCCCCAAGCCTCTCTTGCTTTTCTCAGCCTTGGCCTGTGCTCTCACTGTGAAGGTCCTCCTCTATGTGCCACGGGCACGCTCCCCACAGACACCGCCCTGGCCATTCCACGCACCAGCAGCGAGGATAGATCCAGAAAGCAGCTGGTGCAGGGATTCTGGAGTCTCAGGCACCTGGAGTATGGTCTAGAGGGAACTGTGGGCTCCCATGGGCACCTTCCCTGAGCCCCGTGGCAACCAGGCCTCTGGGCAATGGGGGTCACGACTTAGGGTGGCCAGCTGGTCTGGTTGGCCTGGTGCTGTCCTGGTTTTAGCACTGAACATTTCACATAGGTAGCTGGGAAGGCTGATCACTCTGCCATGGTCTGAAGGTGGCCAAAGCCCCTGCATCGCCACTTTGACTCTGCCCCACCAGAGGCCAGCAGCTTGGGCTCCAAGGACCAAAGTGTCCCAGGCACTTGGCCCAGACATATGTCTATGAATAAAGATAACCTTTTTTCCCTTCTCCATTCTTTAAAGCACTCTCTGGTGTGTTGAGTCCCGGGTGCTTGTCTGTGAGGCTGGGCTGAGGGAAGAGAATGGGTGGGGGACTTGTGGAATAACCTCCACATTGTATGGGGAAACTGAGGCCCGGAGGAGCAGAACCTTGCCCCAAAGCCCGAGGGAGACTTTAGCTCTTGGCTGCACAGGCAAGCCATAGCCACCCGCTAGCCCTTGTTGAAGGCACCCCATGTCCCTGGGAGAAAGCTGACCCTCTCCCTGGCTCTACAGGTGGGGCCTGTGGTCCAGGCATAATCCCACAGTGACTGGTTCAGCTTTGAGTATGTGACCATAGTTGGCCCAATCAGAATGAAGACCGAGGCTTTTATTTTGCCCTGGGGCAGATCTAGAACTGGAAACAAACAAAAACCCCCAGGCAGGGGCTTGACGAAGACAGGAACACACAGAGTGCACAGAAGTTTGTAGCTATTTATTGCACTGAAAACACCAAGAATAAAACAGACGCCCCTTCTTCCCACCCCACCCCCCAAATAGCAGAAAGTTTGAGCAGTGGTCATTCAAGTTCACAGCCACATAGTTTTAAAAAAGAAAAGAAAAACAAAAAAGAACTCAAACAAACCCCCAAACAAATAGTAACAAAGAAACCAGCACGGGGAGTCTGGCAAGCTCATCCCCCCAAAGGGTCTCCCTTTGAAGGGAGACAGGAGGCCCTGGGTCAGGATTCGCACCGTTGTGGGCACAAACCCAGGAGAGCACTTTCCTGGAAACGTGTTTGCATACTGGAGCCAAGGTTTTGACTTGGGTTTGGATTTTTTTTTTTTTTTTTTTTTTTGCATCTAAAGGGTGTTTTGGAGGAGCACAGAGTTTGTCTGGTGAGGGTGGGCTATGGGCAGATTTTTCTGTGAGTTTCCCCTGCCTGCTGCCTCCGGATCATTCCTGGTGCCCTGTGGTGGTACCAGGTGGCTGCCCACCCACAGGCTGGCCTTCACAGTGGGGGCCATCGCAGCCTGGGGTAGTGACCTGCCTCCACTTCTCTGGCACTTGGAGAGGGACACAGTGGACAGGAGGTGTGTCAGCCAGTGAAAGGCAGGACCTCAGGCTCCTACAGCTCAGTTTCCTCTGGCGGGGAAACCAAGCTCCAGAGAGGGGAAGGAACTTGCCCAAGGTCACACAGCAAGTCAGGTCAGAGCTGGGAATTGAAGCCTACTCACCCCAAACCACTGCTTTTTCCCCTGCAGTCCACTGCTGAAAAGCAGTTGACAGGCACCGAAAAGGGGAATCCGGGGCAGGCGGGGGAGGGCATGGGGCCTGGCCAGTTCTAGAAGTAAACAGGAGTCTTGCCAGTGAGTATCCCTGCCAGTTCCTGTGGGTAAATTAGGCTTCACATCGCCAGATGTCTGCTCCTTCATCAGCTGGATGGGAGCAATGAACGCTTTTAACCAATGAGGAAACTGAGGCTGAAGAAGAGCTCAGACCTTGCTCGGTAATTGCAACAGCCCCTGGTGAAGGCCACACCATCATGCTTGACTGGGGATGGCTGTACGGAACCGGCAGCTCACAAGGGGGACAGGTGCTTTTGCCCCAGGGACAATGGGATCACTGGGCCTTACTGGGAAGCCCTCTAGGCCTGGGGCAGGCCAAGAGCACACCCAGGACCTGGGCAGCAAGGTCTCTGCCAAGGACAGAGGCCAGTGATGGACCAGCCTGGAAACCAGGAGGACTGGGCAGCATCTCTCCTGGCTTGCAAACCTGGTGCTGCCTGCGTCACCTGGGTCTGGGCAGCAGGACTTAAGAACCCAGCAGACAGCTGGTGATCGGGGAGAACTCAGAAGAAAGTCTTGGATCAAACATCCTCACCAATTCTGCTCCAACCAACACCCAGGAGGGCTGAGGGTACCGGAGCCTCCTCCAATCCCTGGGGACGTGGCTCTTCCTCCCCTAAAATCCTCCAGAGGGGACAGTATCTCATGCTGGCAAAACACGGCCACACAGAGGCCAAAAGCACAGAGAGGCAGCAACATAATTCCGAGTCGGACACTGAGAATACAACCTCTATTTTTTTTTTTTTAGTCCAAAACATGTAGATTGGTTTTGTTGAGTGTTTTCTTCTTTTCGTTTGTTTTCAACATACTTACTGCATATAAAGTCATGCAAAGAAAACAGTGCAGACAGTAGATCCTAGTGGATGTGCCAAGGTATTCCACTCAGAGTCAATCCCAGAGAAAGAGGGAAAGAGGAAAAGAAAGAGAGGATGCGAACCCGAGGCTGCAGGATGACGCATGAAAAGTAGAAATTCCCAGTGCTCTGCTGTGGTCATCAGATGCCATGGGGGGAGAGGCAATGAGAACACATGCTCATGGGCCCCCCAGAGGTGGGTGGGGGGTGCTGGGGGCCGCACGCAGATATGGTGAGATGAAATCCTGGGAAGTGCGATAGTGAAGACCCCAGTTTGGGAGGGAAGCAAAGAAAAGTCCAGATATTTCCATCCCTACAGCCTCCCTCCTCCTCTCTGCCCTAAACTGCTATTCCTGAGTCAGCGCTGTATCTGATGCTTCCACAGTCCCAAAAGGAATGCTCGTGTCAGCTCACTTTGGGACCGAAATGGCAGAGAGGCCCTTCTCTCTGGAGCTGAGTTCGCCTCGGCCCTAATAACCACAGGTGACAAGGTCCATCTCAGAGATGACAAAAAAAAAAAAACTAGAACAGAAAAAAACTACCCCTCATCCCTCTTCCTACACCCCTTCCAACCCAACCCTTCTCACAATAATCTGAGAAGTCTAGTTATTACATAAATATCCAGGAACGCAAAATCCATTTACGAAATACACAGAAATTTGGCTATAAAAAGGCATGCGGTCCAAGTAGAAGTGATACCTAAACGTTGCTTTCTTTTGCCCCAAAAAACAATTAGATTTCCTCTCTGAGATATGACGAAGCTGGAATTCTCCAGGGACAATGGTGGGCATGTGGGGGTTGAATGTTGGAGGTGGACTTCACCAGAAGGAAGCAGAAAGCAAGTAGGGGCACCTGAGAGGGCCGAGACCCCCACACAGAGGGAAGGGTCAGACCACCCTGAGGTCAGCACAGGAGGGAGAAGACTCGGGGAGCACTTTGAGGCAGGAGGCTCCTGGCGTCTGCTCCTCTCCCCACTCCTTCAGGGAGGTTGGCTTAGGGGGCTAGGGGGTGTCATCTGCCCTTCCTCGGACACCTGGAAGAGGAGAGGTCCAGGAGAGGGACTGGCGGATGCTGCCTTCCTCACCATGCCACCCCTACTTCTCCCCAGCCCCTGGTGGGCATACAGCCTGGGCATTCTAGCCTACAGCCCAAGGCAGGCCAGGCAGACAGCAGCCAGGGCGGGGGAGAGGGGGCTGGTGACTTGGGCACTCAGGCCTGAGGAAGCCCCAGCCTGGCCGGGGAGAGGGTGGGGGTCAGAGGTGGAGAGATGTGGCCATTGGCTCTGAAGTTGCGATGACTTTTGTGGACAAGCGGGTTTTCTTGATGCAGGTACAGAAGTGACAGTGGTGGGGTGATGAGATGGGGGAATTCCAGCAAAATCCACCTGGGAGAACCAGCAGCTCCATTCCAGGGACAGAGTGGATCTCTGCGGCTCAGCAACGCAGCGACCCTGGCCTGGTCCCTCAGCTGTAAGACAAACACAGGGTGCTTCTCAGGGCATGGTTCTTCCTCCATGGGCAACCCGCCCACCCTGCCGCCTTAGATGGAGTCCAAGTGGCCCCCGTAGCTCCTGCACAGCTCTTCCCCCAGACCTGCAGGCCTGGTCTCCTTTCTGGGGTCTGCCCTAGACCTGCAAAGTGGGGTCTTCCCACTCTGTAGCTTTTCAGAGCCGAAGGAAGCAGCTTCCCCGATATAACCCCTCCAGGGCAACACCCTTATCCTTTACATTAATCTGGGAGGCGGGAAGGCAGGATTCTTACTGGGGCAGGACGGAGGGCGCCCCAGATCTGTGGAAGTGGACAATCTGCCATTTGCCGTCCCGGCGGTGCCAGACGCGGGTCTCCTCCGATTGGGCGGTGCGTGGGATGCCGCCGGCATCCAGGTACTGCGTGATGCGGATGTAGGCAATGCAGGCCGACTCATCGCCCATCAGGTGGATGTGGGGATTCAGGATCGTGGTGTGCACGGGCTTGCTGTTCCGGGACCACACTGGAGGTGGGGATGGGAGGGGCAGAGGAGATGCAACAGGGGGCCTCCTTCTCACTGTCTTCACTTTCTCCACTCCCAGTAGCCCTCTCAGCGGAGGCGCCCTGCCTGCTTCATTTGCAGGGAGGGGGCCTCTGTGGCAAGGCTCAGCTACTGCAGTAAGGTAGAACTTCTAGATGACGGGGACATCACATCCCAGCTTAGATACAGTGGAGTTCAGGCATGCAGAATTCATCCAACATGGGAAAATGGAACGTTAGAATCATAGACTGTTAGCCACATGGAAGTAAGCTTTGATGATTATAGAACCAGATGAGCTCCGAGCACAGTCTCAAAGCTGGATGTCCCCAGGTGCCAGGCAGGCACATAAACAACAGTGGCTGAGCCAGGTATAAGATGCTAAATGACAACTGACCCTTTGCCTCTGGGTCAGGGAGGCAATAGGGAGTGATGGGGACTGTGGCAAACAGAATGCCTTGTCCCACCTAAAGAGGGCATCCCGCACACAGCTTCCCGGTGGCTGCTATGTGAGTGACACTGGTGTTGACACACCTGGTTTTCCAAGAGAATCTGGAAATCTGAATTTTTATATGAAAACTCCTCATTTTTTAATTTCATCTAATTCAAATTTAAAACATCATGCAGGCCATGTGAAATATATCTGCAGTTCAGACATAGCCCGTGGGCCTGCTGGCCACTTCTACAGTAGATATATATAGAATTGTGGAAACTTGGGGGAATATGAGAATTGTAGAATCTTAGAACCTTGAAATGATAAGGATGATATTAGTGGTCATGGGGGTCATTGCAAGGTCATGGGGCTTTCCAGAGTTAGGGAGCAATATGTAACTCTTGGAGTCATGATAGGGCTGACAAAGTCCTTGACACCAGATCCCACCACATGAAATGAGATACCACCATTACTATTATTATATTGATTCTAGAAACTCAATGTTTTCCTCAAGGTAGAAAATGAAAGCATAGAAAGACAATGACCCAGCGAGGAGTTGGACAGTGGTGATCTGTATCTGGGGCCTGAGAGGAACCCTTCTATTTGTGTAGCCTGAATCCAGGTCTGAATCATGCGAAGTGCTGACTTTAAACACAGCTTCCCCAACCCCACCCTTAGAGAGTGAAGATCAAGAATCTCTAATGTTAAAAACCTCCCTTCTCCTTCTTTACCCCTTGATCCTGGTGCCAAGCCAGGTTTGTGAGCCACTTATTTTCTGAAAAATGTAAAGTGTCTTTTTTTTTTTTTTTTTTTTTAGGATTGCAGAAAGTATCCAATAGCACCCATCTCCTGTTAGAACACGTTACACACAGGCTTTAGATAAAGGACTTCACCAAGTCTTAGGCACGTAGAATAACAGAATTTTCTGGGCTCTTGGACATGTAGAATGCAGAGTTTTAGCATCATAGACTTGGGAGTGACCTCAGTGGTCAGAGGTCATCCAGCAGCCCAACTGTAGAATCTGAGGAGAGCTCTGTAAGTGTCCCTGATAGCATTCAGGGTTGGAGGCATACAGGACCATCTATTCAACATATCCATTCTACAGATATGCAAATAAGGTCCAGAGAAGCAATCTGACTTGTCCCAGGCCGGGCTAATTCCTGAAAAAAATGCAGTGGAATCTTAAAAAAGTCAGTTTTGGCTGGGAGCGGTGGCTCATGCCTGTAATTCCAGAACTTTATGAGGCCGAGGTGGGTGGATCACGTGAGCCCAGGAGTTCGAGACCAGCCTGGGCAACAAAGCAAAACCCTGTCTCTACGAAAAATAGGAAAAAAAGCCAGTTTCATAACCTGGTTGGTAGATGATAGATAGATAGATAGATAGATAAAATTATTTTTTAAAAAAGAAGTCAGTTTCCAGGTGAGACTGGGTTAGGACAATCCAGAACAATCCCAGGAGGTACAAATAGAGCTTAGCATTGTTGAGGGCACTGGGCCTTGCTACAGTCAGCAAGGGCTGGGGTCTTAAGAGGTATTTGTAAAGAAATGCCACCTGATGTGATGTCTTTTGAAAAGATAGGAGGCTTCCAATATCTATCGTTGTGCATAGCGTGGGAGACAGAGCCAAGTCGTCCACAGGAAAAAATAGGGCTCTGGAAGGTGGGTCTTGGTCAGGAGTGAGCAGTTACTCTGGGTCTGCCCTTGTGAGTTCTGCATTGGAGGTGACCAAATGTTTAAGCCTGGAGTTGGGGGGCCAACACTAAGAGGGGCCTCTGCATGGACGCAGGCAAAGGGCTGCATGTCTTCCTCTCTGTGATGATTTCCATTTTGTCATCCCTCAGCCTTTACAGTTGGGCCTTAGCCTGGTCCCTGCTTTGTGGGGATTGTAAGTTTACCCTGGGGGACCGGTGCCCCCAGAGGACAGACGGTAGGATGGTCGGCACCATAATCAGTGAGGGAGCTCCAAGGTGACAGAATCTAAGGGTCCAGCCACCTCTCCTTGCCTGAGAATTCAATCTTTTTTTTTTTTTTTTTTTTTTTTTTTTTGAGACAAAGTCTCACT